GTGCGCACAAATGATAAACAAATGTAAACAATAAACAAATGCCAACCAAGGACACTTAGAGCAAAGCTAAGTGTCCACTACATGTCTGTAGGGTTAGATAGAAATAACACAGAGGAGAAATGCAGTCCTGAGGTGCACAGGCACCTAATATGAACACAAAGAGCACAGACCCAATCCCAGCTGAATAGACAATTTTATTGTCTGCTAGCTTGATAGGAACACATTTTGGGCTGTAATTTCACAGCCAATGGCAATGGGGCATCATATGAGCAGTGGCAGCCAAGTCTGCGATCCAATGGATGTCAGCATCGACTTGTAGGGGGCAGAGAAGGGAGGAGGGATCAGGGAAGCAAAGACTTGCATTTCCAGCAAATCCTACCGCCTGTGCAGCGCTCTGGTTCGATGAGGGAGTTGTTGGCACTGTACCAATTGCAGGGCAGGAAGTAGATGATGTAGAGGCTTGATTTGCGGTGGTAGCAGTCTTCTTGTCCTTCTTATTCTTCCTAGAGCGATAGAAAGCCTTTGATCTCTCCATATTTACACACTTATGGGATGATGTGTCGTATGACGGGTCTGGGAATTTCTAGAGCGTGGGGCTCATAAACCTGTTAAAATATCCCACAAAGTAGGCCTTGTGCCCAGTGTCAGAGACTGAAGAGAAAATACACTGGGCACACACAACTGCTAAGTGCGCAAAAATGGTAATCAAGGGAAAACAAACAGTCACAACATACCACAACACTGTATAGTGTAGGAATGTGAACTTAGAGCATATTAGCAAAGCATATAACAGTAGAATAAATGAAAATGCAAACAGAGGTGCAGAGGCACCACTGTAACAATAAGACCATTCTAGTCTCTCTAATTCAAACTTTCATTGACACAGATGGTCTCAGATATGCTTCTTGATTGCCAATACATGCATATGCAGCTGAATGCTTTGAATTCAATCAACTTATAAATCTAGAAGACAAAGAACCACCAGCCTGAAGAAAGGAGCTATTCTGGAGCCTGGAAAGCTCTGCAAACCCATCTATTCCAAGGCTTGCCCTCTGTCTTTGTGAGGCTTGTTTGAAATGCATAATCTTTTTCTGACACTTGGCTATCTGTATATTTAAATTTGTCATATCAGCTCCCCCTTGGAGAAGACCCTTCTCCAGTTCATCTAGTCTGGCATCATATGTTTCCAGTGATTTCTGAGTTGCCATCTGTTCATATTAGGTGCCTGTGCACCTCAGGACTGCATTTATCCTCTGTGTTATTTCTATCTAACCCTACAGACATGTAGTGGACACTTAGCTTCGCTCTAAGTGTCCTTGGTTTGCTTTTGTTTATTGTTTACCTTTGTTTATCATTTTTGCGCACTTACTGTTGTGTGCCCAGTGAAATTTTCTTCAGTCTCTTACACTGGGCACAAGGTATGTCTTATGTAGTATTCCCTTGAATATCAGTCTCTTCTTACACTGGGCACAAGTGGCCTCAGTCTGTGGTTATCTCAACACCATCATGTGCATTATAAGATTTTCTGTGGCTTTTGCAGAGTACCCTTAATTTACTGTCAGCTCACAGCAAGAGGAATCACTTATACAGGAAGCTTACAAGATGCTGGCTTGGTTTGTACTGAACCCTGAGCCTCCCATTCAGCTTGAAGTGTCTGAATATTGATTCCAGATCTTCTTAGACCCTTTTTTGCAGAAGCCTTTTTTGCTTGACAGTGATTCCAGCACCGCAAAAGCCACTGGCCAAGACCAGTAAGACTCTTCATGTCAAGATAGTGCACCTGGGAGTCAATGACAAAGAGGCATTGATGATACTGAATAAAATATTAGCCTGCATTTTGTAACACAACTAACTGCATACCCCAGAAACTCACAGAGATGGTATTAGTGGCTTAATTGAACTCCAAAATTGCTCACAACCCTCTCCATCAGACAGTCCAAACCCTTCTCGTTTCCAAGGGTGATAGATGAGCTGGCAAGCCCATTGATGACCAAAGGCATGAAAGACTGATATAGCAAAAGAAATTCAGGGCAGAAATGGCCCAAGGTAGCCCCACTTTCTGCAGCTCTGTTCAAGCTGACAGCCTATGTCATATAACTGTTTATATCAGGTGCCTGTGCACCTCAGATCATGTTTTTCCTTTCTCCTATTTCTATCTCACCCTACAGGCATGTAGTGGACACTTAGCTTTGCTCTAAGTGTCCTTGGTTTGCATTTGTTTATTGTTTACCTTTGTTTATCATTTTTGTGCACTTACTGCTGTGTGCCCAGTGAAATTTTCTTCAGTCTCTTACACTGGGCACCAGGTACAGTCCTGTATTATTTTACTCAATGTTAGTCTCTTACACTGGGCACCAGTGGCCTCAGATTGTGGTTATATTAACAATAACAGCCCACTGTGAAAATCATCAGGGAGGTGACTGAATAATGATTTGATAAGGGCAAGTGCAAATGTTGCTTCTCCCCTGCTGAAGTCATGTTGGCAAGGTGAATAACACAATCATGACGACAGAGTAGGGCCATAACTCCAGTATCTGAAAAGAATTGGGTACTTGCCTATACCACCATCAGAATATTGCAGACAGGTTAAATGATTAAGCTCACTTTCTGACATCTTTCATCAGCTGCAGTGAAGGATTCATTACAACTCTTGAGGGCTGATGGTGGTATCCTCGTACTCTGCTCAAATCTATCCTCATCTCCACAACTCTTCTTAGAAGACTGACCACTCCTCTTTTGCATTGATGCCTTTGTCCTTCTCAAACTTTCAACCTCACATTCCATAGTATCAATGTCTTCTTGTGACAGAAAAACTGAACCTGTAGGGTTTACTGGATCATCCTGTTGACTTCTTCTACATTTCTGGGAAAAGCAAGCATTGATGCAAACAATTGCATCAGGATTAGAGGAGCTAGGACCCAAGACTACTTAGTAAGATTATGTATGTGCACCAAGAAACATACCTATTATTATTTTTCCAGTTGTGACTACCAAAGCACAATGGGCAATGCTTTCATAGGTATTCCGAAGGCCCTGTCCTTGAACTTGAGACATCTGGAGGGTGGTGAGAGGATGATGGAACTGCAGGGAGGATGTCAGCTGGTGGGGTTGCAGCACTTTCCAGGTGTTGTTGAACATATTCATCAACTGAGATTTCCAGGATGCAATACCAGTGGTATGCATTACTAAACCTTCGACATATACCTTCATGTAAGTATCATTAGCAAACATCATTAATAGATATGGATGGAAATAGTTAAAAGCATGCATTGACTTGATAAACACAGCACAAGATCAGATCTGCAGACATGTGCACATTCATACAGCCACAGTGCAATCATTCATTAGACACAAACAACAAAGTCCCAATAGGTTAGACATACACAAAACTGTAGTCTCATAATCACAACATAAATGAAAACAGTGGATACAGATAATATAATCATTGGGACAGAATTCAGACACAAACCTTTGTGTCTACCTTGTAGCCCATGCTAGCAAGATATGCTTCAAGGGACTCACACCATGCAGAAATGTTTGGGGGCATGCACATAAAGACCTGCCTGACCAGACTCAGAAGCTGTAAACTGACAGCAAGGGTTGGCCCCAGTGGCTGTTGCAATAAATGCGACCAGACAGGGGATTGAACCCTGGACCTCCCAGGTTTCGACCGGGTGCTCTAACCACTGAGCTATTTGGTCAAGGTATCTAGGCTTACTTGGTGTGGTTTAACCACCAAGTGCTAGTAGGGACTAGCATTGCTGAGTGCTGGAGTACTACACTTGCAACAGCCTCCCCTAATCCAGTGCACAGCAACAAGGCACAAGCATGGGAAATCACTGCCTAAAGTGGCAACTGCCTTAAGTGGTAGGTCTTACAGCATGCTGCCTCCTGCAAAGGTCTTAGATGGCTCAGGGGCCATTTTGCCTTAATTGGTAGGGCTCACACAATGGGTGAGTTCTGGGGCTACTAGCAACAAATATAGGGCTAGAGAGCGAGGGATAGGTCCAGGAAGTATGGAAAGATGCGCAGAGGTGGATGATGTGGCAAATGACGTGTCCAGAGAGTCCTAAGGCATGGGGCTCATAACCTGTTGCAATAAATGCGACCAGACAGGGGATTGAACCCTGGACCTCCCAGGTTTCGACCAGGTGCTCTAACCACTGAGCTATTTGGTCAAGGTATCTAGGCTTACTTGGTGTGGTTTAACCAACAAGTGCTAGTAGGGACTAGCGTTGCTGAGTGCTGGAGTACTACACTTGCAACAGTGGCACAGATGGAAAGTACCCCATCTGCAGGAGCTGAAGTGCTGCTGGTGCACATGGACAGACAGCAAGATCAACCATTTGCAAACCTGGCACAAGACATATATGTCCTAAGTAGAGAGGAACACATGCAATAAAATCTTACCATTGAAACTAACACAAAGAACCTTCAACTGTTGAGAAACACAACTACACTCTGGTCATTCATACTCAATGCAGTGCTGGAAATTTCTAGAGAGCTGTCAATATGCAAGATAGGGCTTGATAAGTGAGGGGATGGTTTCAGATGACCACTACTGCCATTGTCTCATTTTCTTGTGAGCATTGTGGGATGGTGAGGATGGTGGGACAAAAAAGTCATCATGACTGACATGTAGCCCCTCTGTTAGACTGCATGTAAAATAATGCAAATTTTTCCACTGCCCAAACATGTGCCAGTGAGGCTGATGATGGAAGTGAGGTTCCCAAATCTGGCAGAAACCCTGGCCACAAAGCAGGCAACATCCAGAACCTCTTGACATATTCTGTTCATATTAGGTGCCTGTGCACCTCAGACCGCATTTTTCCTTTGTTTTATTTCTATCTAACCCTACAGACATGTAGTGGGCACTTAGCTTCGCTCTAAGTGTCCTTGGTTTGCTTTTGTTTATTGTTTACATTTGTTTATCATTTTTTCGCACTTACTGCTCTGTGCCCAGTGATATTTTCTTCAGTCTCTTACACTGGGCACCAGCCTCAGTTTGTGGTTATCTCAACATATTCCAGCTTCATTTTGGGTTCTAGTGAGGCCAGACCTTGATCCTTAACTGGGAAGGGTTCAGTGAACATGGTAAGCTCCAAATCTCCCAGGAAGATCTGCATAAAAATTTAGTAAATGGATTCTTTTGAGGTACAAGGCAAAAACTTACCTGATGGACTTGGTCCAGCCACTCAGATTCCACACTCAACCAGAGGGTGGGCACCAGCAGATGGTCCAGGGTGACCAGCTTGAAGTGGAAATTGGGCTCATACTGGTCCCAGAGAATCTTGCCCTTTGTTACCGAGTTGATGGTAGTGAGGTCTGTGAGATCAATTGTAATGTTGCAGAATTGCACTTGACTCGGTACATCATGCTGAACCTTCATGAACTCTGGACCAAAGATATCAGCAGCTTCACATATTTGGTTCCCAGAAAAACTGATTGAAATGTGGTCAGGAATTGTGTTAAGATAATTGCACCACAAACAAGGAATGACAGGGGATGCATCCGAAGCAGCAAGTCACATGATCCAACCTGCTTGGGCTACCAATCAATTCCAGAGGTACCTCTGCCTCCACTCTGAGGACTCACCTCTCATAAATAGCATGGGGTGAGGGAAAAAATATGCAATTTTGGACACACCAGCATGAATTCTCTTGGGGTCCTTGTTGACATCAGTAAGCACAGTGTTCCATGAGTAAATGTGAGCAGGGAAGGCAGGATCATCAAAATCCTGCAGCAAGTCAATGTTTGGAGTGGTGGAAGTCTTGGCCTTCTTTGAACCTGCAGAATTATCTGAGCAGATGGTTGTAAGCATAAAGCTCGATCAGTAACAAAACACCCACAAGAACCACTGTGATGTTTAGCCCTATCCATTCTGACAACTCCTGAGGTGGAGCCAGGCATGCTGGAACTCACAGTATTCAAGGCCACTGAGCCAGAGGTTGTGGAAGTCAACACTATGGGAATTGGGTCTGGCCAAGGTGCCACAAATTGCTCAAGACCCACTACTGGAGCTTCATGGGTGTGGACATGCATAGGATCACCAGGGTAATACCACCTAGCATTCCACTTGAGCATTTGGCCAACCTTGAACTCATCTGGGGTAGTGATAATATGTTGAGATAACCACAGACTGAGGCCACTTGTGCCCAGTGTAAGAGACTGATATTCAAGGGAATACTACATAAGACATACCTTGTGCCCAGTGTAAGAGACTGAAGAAAATTTCACTGGGCACACAACAGTAAGTGCACAAAAATGATAAACAAAGGTAAACAATAAACAAAAGCAAACCAAGGACACTTAGAGTGAAGCTAAGTGTCCACTACATGTCTGTAGGGTTAGATAGAAATAACACAGAGGATAAATGCAGTCCTGAGGTGCACAGGCACCTAATATGAACATAATACCCTCCAGGCATGTAATGTCGACCTTACGATGTATCTTCATATCCTTTGGCACTAACTCCAGCTTCCAGACTAGCCATATGGGGATGTGTGCTTCAAAAAGTCGCTTGCAGACATCAGGATCCATGGTAAATGCACCCATCCAATGCTGTTTTGCATTAAAAAATGGGCCAGAAGGGGGGGTAATTTTTATCTCAAGGGAGTCTACCATAGCATAAATATCCAGACAAAGACATTGGAAGAGTGTGGCTAGGACCACTGTATCATGGAAGGTGAATGGGAGTTGCTATGGAATTGTCAACTATTGAAATATCAGACAATGAGATATCATACCTTCAGATGCATGAGAGTCCTTTGACATTGCCTAATCCATATGTGCACCCAGAGAGGTCCCTCATCATCAGGGTTCTTTGGTGGCCAGTTCTTCACCTGCTCTTCTAGTCACTTATACATGATTTCCAGATGCTTCCACTTGTCCAGATGAACCCTACCAACCCTGAATGCCAATCCTCTCTCCAAGGCGAAGTCTTCCAGCACATTCCTGATGTTCCACCACATCCAAGACCATGTCAGGTCATCCTGATAGACTGCATGTTGAGGGATACATCTGGCCCACATATAACACTCAGCATATAGTTGAGGCCACTGGAAACAGTCAATGTAGCCAAATCAGCCATCATGGCAGAGTGTGATTGTCCTCCCCTTGAAGAGAAACGGTTTGGGAATGAAGTCAGCATTAGGAGAGGTGATCCAGTGGTTGTTATATTTCATGAGAATGCATGCATTGAAGGCACCATAATTCCATGAAAGAGAATGCATTGGTTATGAGCCACATTAGGTTAAATAATAGAGTGCACCATCACCTGGTTGGGTTGCTGCCATGACCTGTTGAGTGCATTCTTGAGGCATATCAATCCTATAAATGAAATAAGAACTGAAATATGTAGCATCTTAGTATGGATTCCACTACAGGGTCAATAAAAACATACCCAGGAGATAAGAGGCATTTGAAGGGGGAGGAGATAAATAAAGCAATATGGCTATAGTAGAATTGTTGAAGCATGCCCTGGCACTGAGTCAGAGTACCAGTCACAACATGGAGTCACATCATCCAACATTCCTCCAACAACACTAGCATTGCTGGTATCTGTGAGACCATCAAGGGGGAGATAAATGAGAAAACAAGTGGATCATGCACCTACACAGTATAAAGAACCTTGCACCCAATGAAGATTTCATGCACAGATGCCAGGCACACAGTCTTCAACGCCCCAAGTTGCACTATGCAAGGTAGTGCCTCCATGAAATGGAGTCTTGTCCACATGACTGGTACCACAAGCATGCCAATTTTACTGAGATAGGCACCAAACCCTTCAAATCCTGGCAGAGGAATGTGCCAAATGTTCCTCTCCATGACACAAATTGATAAAAAGAAAGAAGAAAGAAGAACTCACCTTAGACAGTAGCATGAAGGTGGTTGTGGATTAGGATGTGTGGATCATTTGAAGGGCTTGCAAAAGAAGTGTGACAAGTGCAGTGAGCACATGATCATTACTGCATTAAGTCAGAGCTGACTTAGCATGAGAAATTTGCTGGCAGTGCGCACAGACTATTTGGTGGTGGCGGTGCCATGGCAATGTTATGATGCCACCAGTATGCAGTCAGGTTCATGCATGTGGGGCAGGCTCATTGGTGCCTGAACCTAATATATAACATATGTTGTAATGCCCCTGCATTCAATTCAAACCAGAGTCCCAGAGGAGATACCAACAAATTAATTGTCATAGGTGCATACTTAGTAACCAAACATACACACTTGTTTCCCTTCTCTACTCTCCACTCTCCACTCTCGTTGTCAATCTTATGCCAGGGGAATGCTTGGTGCCCTTGATGGCTCTCAAAGGCTTGGAGCCTTCAAGAGTTGTCTTGGTATGGATTGGCTGTCAGCCACACAGACAAGAGTCCATCTCATGGAGGTGCTACTTTGTATAGCACAACTTGGGGCATTGAAGACTGCCAGCTTTCCTTGGCCTCAGCTGTTCACATTACCCACTGGTGAGTTTGAGGCTTGTGTCTCCCCAAGACATTAATCAAGTTTCTCTTCACTTTCTCAAACTTCCTGATCAATGCTATATTCTCTCCATCATCTGTTAAGGTTGACATTTGTCCTTGGCTGCCCCCATCTCTGCCTTCTCCTTCTCAGACAAGACTCTGTTCACTTTGCCCATTGGTGAGTTCAAGGTTTGCATCTCCCTTCCTTGGCTGATTTCCAATTGTCTTTGTATAGGGACACCAATCGAGTATCTCTTGCTCACTTTCTTACTTTCCTGCTTAAGGCAGTGTTCTCTCCATCATCTATTAAGGCCAATGGTTTTCCATGGCTACCCCCAGCTCTGCCTTGTCTGTCTGAGACAAGACTCCTTCACTTTTCCTGCTGGTGAGTTTGAGGCTTGTGTCTCCCCCTTCCTTTGCTGATCTCTGATTGTCTTTGTATAGGGATGCTAATCAGATTTCTCTTACTTGCTTTCTTACTTTCCTGGTTAACACAGCATTCTCTCTGTTATCTAATAAGGCCAATGGTTTGCTGTGGCTACCCCCAGTTCTGTCTTCTCCTTCCAATACTAGAGTCTTTTCAATTTGCCTGCCAGTAAGTTTGAGGCTTGCATCTCCCTTCCTTTGCTGAGCTCCAACCGCCTTTGTGTGGAGATGCTAATCAGGTTTCTCTTCTTCACTTTCTTACTTTCATGGTCAATGGTATGTTCTCTTCAACATCTATTATGCCAGGGGAACATTTAGTGCATCCCCCACCAAGTGCCAGGGGCTTGGTGCCCTTGGCAGCTCTCAAAGGCTTGGAGCCTTTGAAAGTCATCTTGGTATGGATATACCCTAAACTCTACCTTTTTGTTTCCTGAGGATATTCTGTTCATTTTACAAGCTGGTGAGTTCAAGGCTTGCTTGTTTCCTCAGTTCCTGATCCCCAATCACTCCTGTGTAGGGATGCTAATTAAGTCTTCCTGTCCTTCCTAGTGTTGTCTCTGCTTCCATCATAGTGAGCTGCAAACAAGTAAGTGTTTAGCCTTTGCATCTATTCCATTAGTTATATTCTTTACCTGGGGTGCACAATGATCCATTTAACAAGAGTGTGATTATGACATCTCTACAGACTGTGCATGCAGGATTCACTGAGGTGGATCCTACATGTTATTCCATGGCTGCTAACAAATGGGGAAGAAGAATGTTCTGTTGGAGATCCACCTATTGACTTACAATATTGTCTGTGTTTCTCTCCCTCTCCCTTCCAATCCTTGTCTCACTATGTGCCAGCCACCCTCACTCAATAATGGGCAAAGCATAAGTGCCATCAACCTAAGTGCATGATTTTCTAACCACTGTCTGATAGCTAACATTCAAGGGTTATGCAGGCGCTCTAATCACTATTGTTTCACATCTTGAACTGAGTGCAATTGATGCTGCAACCCTTGCCAACATCCTACTTTCAAGATCCCAGCATGAAGGTGGGCAATTTTCCAAGATTTTTGTTCCTTGACAGGAATCATCTCCCATAGCACCATCATTTCCATCAAGTTTGGCTCCCTCAACATCATCATCCTGTCAGGAGGGCACCACTTTGGTCCCTTTCCTCCCCTTTTCCCCCATCAGACTGGAGGTCCCCACTCCCCCTGTATCAATCCATCTAACATCTGCCAACACCCCTGACTCTGCCACTGTTCTTGTCTGTGGACATCTGGACATGGAACCAAGGGATCTGTCCCTGGCAGACAAGTGTTGGCATACTTCAACCGGAGTATTTTTCATGGTGACCCTGTAAACATACCTGTTTTGTATACAGCTTTGCTTTTTATTTTTAATTCTTAATTTGGCTCAAGTGTAACCAACAACACAACTACTAATGGATTTTCCACCTGGTGCAGGTAAGTGGAGATATCACAAATACAAAGGTTTCAAGATTGGGATCTGTTCATGGATGTGTTGTTACTGACCTCCATCCATTCTCGCCCTGACCATTTGGTGTGGTTGTCCACAAGAGTTGAGGGCTTGGCACCCTTGGGGGTTTGGAGCCTTCAAAGGTTCTCATCGATTGTGTCTACAAGACCCTTGGGAACAGAGTCATGGCATCGTCTGAGCCTTTCCATTCACTGTCATCACACATGTATCATATTACTAAGTGGTACATATTCCCTCTGTCTTGGTTGTTGCATCTTCCTTACTGTTCTCTTGCTGTTCCAGCATTTACCAATGTTTTGTTGTTGATCACACACATGAAACCCACACAAACAGAGCTCATCTCCTGAGGCTCTCCATTTACTGTTCAGATAACCACAGCTTCAGGCCACTGGTGCCCAGTGTAAGAGACTGAAGGAAAACTTCACTGGGCACACAGTAGTAAGTATGCAAAAATGATAAACAAAGATAAACAATAAACAGAAACAAACCAAGGACACTGAGAGTGAAGCCAAGTGTCCAATGCTAGTTGTA